GAGAACGACAGCAGGGCCACGAAGGACACGAAGTAGGCCACGAAGGGCGACAGCGGGGACATGAAGGGAATGCGTATGGGGCCACGAAGAGCGCGAACGAGCGTGGGCCACGAAGGGCAGATAATGCGGGGCCACAGAAGGCAACGATGGGGCCACTGAGGGTAGCACCTGGGCCACGTAGGACAATGAGGGGGCCACAAACGGCGACAGCGGGGCCACGAAGGGCATGCACATGGGGCCACAACGGGCGCGAACGAGCGGGGGCCACGAAGGGCATACGTATGTTGGGCCGCGGAGGGTAAGGACGGGGCCACTGAGGGCAGCAACGGGGACACGAAGGGCAGCGAGGGGGCCACGAAGGGCGACAGCGGGGCCACGAAGGGCATGCATATGGGGCCACCACGGGCGCGAACGAACGGGGGCCACGAAGGGCATACATATATGGGGCCACGAAACAAAGCGAGGGGGCCACGAAGGGCTGCAACGGGGCCACGAAGGGCAGCGAGGGGCCACGAAGGGCTGCAACGGGGCCACGAAGGGCTGCAACGGGGCCACGAAAGGGCAGCGAGGGGGCCACGAAGGGCTGCAACGGGGCCACGACAAAGCGAGGGGGCCACGAAAGGGCTGCAACGGGGCCACGAAGGGCAGCGAGGAGGCCACGAGGGGCTGCAACGGGGCCACGAAACAAAGCGAGGGGGCCACGAAGGGCTGCAACGGGGCCAAGAAGCAAAGCGAGGGGGCCACGAAGGGCTGCAACGGGGCCGACGCGAGGGGGCCACGAAGGGCTGCAACGGGGCCGACGAAACGAAAAAGCGAGGGGGCCACGAAGGGCTGCAACGGGGCCACGAAGGGCAACTCCCGATTCCTAGGTAATCTGTGAAGGAGTCCTAAGCGTGAGCGCGACTCCTGGGTGCCTGGGTGTCGGGAGCGCGGCGCTGCAGTAAATTGCAAGAAATTCCAACGCAAGGGCGCTATTCTTCAGTACTTTGCAAACAAGTCTCCAGCGAGAGCGCGACTCCTGAGCGCAGGAGGAACGATTCCTGAATAAATTGTAAGGAAGTCCCAAGCGAGAGCGCGATTCTTCAATAAAATGCGAAGAAATCTCGAGCGGGAGCGGGGGTCCTGGCTAAATTGTGAGGAAGTCTCAAGCGGGAGCCGTTGTTGTTGTAACCCGGGGGCCAGGGAGCCAGTTTGATCAGGAAGACTTTCCTTGACAAAAAACAAGTGCGAGCCCGGGGGGGGGCACTTCAATTGAAAAAATCAATGTGCACCGGTGGGGGGGGGTCAACAATAATTATTCTTTGGGAATGAGAGTTCAACAACGACAACAACAACAACAACAACAACAGCAACAACAACCACTATAATAAGTACAGCAAGAATAAACATAACAACAACACCAACAACAGCAACATCAAGGGCAAAAACATCTACAGCAACAACCACAAACACCACAATAACAACCAAAATAACAACAACAACAACAACAACAACAACAACAACAACAACAACAACAAGCCGAGGCCGGGTTTCTGGTACCCTTGGGGGGCAGGGTACCAGAACTCCGCCCCCCCCTGCTGGCGAAGGCGGTTTTCTAGCACCCTGGCCCCCAGTTGCGATGGGGGGGGCGCAACCAAAACCGCGCAACCAACACTACCACAAGCTAGCGAACATGAATACATCAGAACTTCCAATTGGAGTTTCCCCTCGAATTCTCAGCAGAACATGCATGTGCGCGCCAGCGAAGCAAGCGTGCTCCTACAGCAAAAACTGTCCGAATCCTAATAGATCTTCGCGCAGCTCTAATAGCATCCTACTAGAGCTGCGTGCAGTTCTGGTAGAATCCTACTGGAGCTGCGTGCAGTTCTACTAGAATCCTACCCGAGCCGCGTACAACTCTAATAAGAAAAACCTACTAGAGCTAAACGCAACGCGAATAGAATCCTGCTAGAGCTACGTGCAGCTCTACGAGAATCCTCCTAGAGCTGCGTGCAGCTCAAATAGGATCCTACCGGAGCTGAGTGCAGCTCTACTATAATCAATCCTACAAGAACTGCGTGCAGCTCTAAAAGATTCCCACTAGAGCTGCGTGCAGCCCTAGTAGAATACTGCTAGACCTGCGCGCAGCTCTAATAGAATCCTATTCGAGCTGCGTGCAGCTCTGATAGAATCCGACTAGAGCTGCGTGCAGCT